ATTGCATTGACCACGGTTAGTACAAGGCCCCAGTGACATGGAGAGGGCGGGGAAATGCATGCTTGCTTGTGTGCAGCAGAATCATGTTATAGTTTAAACACACAGCACTCTGGCTGCCCTGGGACACCCGGAGAGTCTGTACAGCCAAATCCAACAGCAAGTCCTCATGATGTTCCTGAAGAGGAGAGCATCTCAGAACAATTGAGAGGCAGCTAACCAAATCATTCAGAATGAGAAAGGGACACCCTTCCCTGAGAGTCTGCAGTGTACCTACTCTTGACCCAGGGATAATTCTCAGGGAGAGTAGAGTGTAACTGTGCACATGCTTAGCCTGAGATGACCCTGAGTTCATCCTCAACACCAAAAACTCCTGAAAGTAAAAACTCAGGAAAGTCCCAACACCACTGCTGGCTTCCAGCAGGTGCACAGTGAATGATCAAAGCCCCTAGGTTTTTGCTGTGGGTTGACTGGTACAACCCAAGCTCTGCGGGTGACTCCATTGGAATCCCAGTTTCTGCCTGCTCCTTCCCTGCCCATCTTCCCTGCCCCAGCCCCCACTCCCCATGCTCTGCCCATCCTACTGGGAAGTCCTTTGGAGCTCAGAGGAGTCTCCAGCTTTCTGTCCTTTATCCTCCTCACTCCGGCTCCAGGCAGTGTTGAAGAACTTGTTTTCCATTTTGGGATCCCATTCTGCCTCTGCAGAGGCCGCAAAGAGGGCAGGAGGAGGAAACAGAGCCACTTTTCAGCATCTCCCAAGCCTTGTGTTCTTGTTGCAGCTTCATTACTTCCGTAAGTGAGGATTCCCAGAATAGCAGGCAGCTGGACACACCCGTATTTAAATGTTAGCACCAAAGCACATTCTGAACAAGAAATAGAATTGCATTTCTGTTTGGAAGGCTTACATGAACCCTGCTTGAGCTTTCCTCTATTCATGCGCATAATGAAAGAACTGGCAGGGCTTGAGCCTCTGACTCCATGGCTGTGGAATTGTGACAAAATGTCCTTTGCCTGTTCCCTGTTTGTTTATTTGGAACCCTGCTTGGTTTTGCCCCCCAGTTGAAAGTCTGCATCCTTCCTGAGTGACTGGAATGGTAGAGCTGTTATTCCCTCCCCCTCACCCCCCCTCCAGGCGTGGAGTTGCCAGCTCCCGGGGTGGGGGGGTGGGGGAGGGCACCTCATGGAAGAAGAGGCTCAAGTGACGGGAAAGTGTGTGAAGGGGCTTTGTGTGGATGGTGGTATTAGGTTGTTCGGTTCTGGGGAAAGTGGAGCAGGTGCCTGGTGGAGGCAGATGGGCGAGAGACCCAGGGAGGAGTGGGCTATTAGGTGTCTGCCAGGCAGCCAGGGCAGCCATGCATGCGGTCTTCTGACTCCACAATGATTGGAGCTGCTCGCTGCTTTCCTCTAAGTCACATTATGCCTTGTTAAGCAAACGGGGACATTTTCAAACAATCCACAAGGAAGACAAAAAAAGTGGAAAAATAATGTAAGATTGATGACTTTCCCATTGAAAAGTGTTAGAACAGAATGAGGGTGGAGAAATTTCAAAAGTTCAAGCGTCTCAAAGGTTAACATTGGAAGGCTGAGAGGCAGGAGAATTGCCCCAAGTTAAAGGCCAGCCTGGGCTACATAGTGAGACCCTGTCGTAGGCCCCCTTACCAAATAAACCCTCTCAAAAATTAATGTTGACAGAGCATGGGCAGTGACCTCCAAGACCTTCTATTTAGCCCTTCCTCTGTTTATTTTAAAAAAGAAAGTGAAAAACTTGTTAGGATTTCCAGAGGGTTACTGTTGTGATCAAAATGAGCACTTTTTTTTTTTTTAAAGTTTTTATCAGTACCAGGGATTGAACTCACGACCGCCTGCTTGCAAGGCAGATGCTTATGCCGCTGAGCTAAATCCCCACCCCCCAGCACTTCTGATGATCCTTAGTATCTGTGTGTTTTTGTGCAGTGGCAAGCAGGAACACTGAAGCCACAGCCAGGATTTGGAGCCAGACTTATTTACATCAACAGGCACAGATATTGGGGTCCTTCCCAGAATATCAGGCCCTGATCTCTGGTAGTCCAGGACTTATGTGGAATAAGCAAGCAGGAAGTACAGAGGCAGAATGGCTCGTCAGTTGGGGTTATACAGTGATTATACAGTGTGCATCACAGTGATCAGCTGTTTCTAAGAGACAGGAGCAACCAGACCTGAAACAGGAACTGTTACCCGGGCAACTGAGAAGTGAAGTGTACTGGCCGAGGAGGCATTTTCTGCCACAGTAGCCAGGCAGAATGTGACTTTCTGGCTGCTGTTGAGACTTTGTCAGGACTGGAAGTGTATGAATATTTATCCAAATGGGTGTGTGTGGGTGTCTGCTCATGATAGGTCCAGGTAAAAAAATCACAGGAGTCTTTCCAGAGCCTCAGTCCTATTCATTAATACAGCTGTCCTGGATAATTTTTGTAATACATTTTTTAGAGGTGTCAAAAGTATCTTTAAAAATCTACTTAAAAGTCAATAGTGACATATTAGGTATGCAACAAATTTGGTTAATACAAAATGCATGCTCCACACACACTCAAAAGATAAAGCTAAGTGCTTTCAGATACTACATGTAATTATCACCTTGAAACATGACCTTTTCCGCACTTAGTTTTTGTCCTTCCTTTCTTCTTCTGTCCTTCCTTCCCTCCCTTTGCCCTCTTTCCCTTCCTCTCTTCCGCCTTTCTTCCTTCTTTCCCTCCCTTCTTCCTCTCTTCCTTCTTCCCTTCGTTTCCTTTCTTCCTTCCCTCCCTCCTTTCCTTTCTTCTTCCTCTCTCACTTATTCTTTCCTTCTCTTTCCTCCTCCTCTCTCCTCTCCCTCCTTTCCTCCTCCCTTCCCTCATTCTCTCCTGGATGTCCAACCCAAAGCCTTGCACATACTAGCCAAGTGCTCTGCCACTGAGCTGCACCCCCCAGCCCTGCATCTACCTTTATTCAACAAATCCTGTTATGTCAGTATTATTAGAAAAGAGCCCCTGAATGAGGTAACTGTAGCATACGTCTGGTATTAGGAGGGTTCCTTAAACAGGTGGAAGGACAGTGAGTCCCTCTTTTAATACGTAGTTCAGTCTTTCCCCTTTTAGACTTGCTGCTGAAACTAATGGAAAGTAGAAGGATTAACTAATTTGGTTGTGTTTTTCTTCCCTTCCTTCATCAGTGTCTGATGGAGATGCTATAATTAGCAATGTAATGAGAAGTGGAGGGTAAACAATAAGAATTGTTCCCAGAACATATATCAGCTTTGGAAGACTGGAAGAGGAAAAGTAGCCTGAGATTAAAATATTTTCTGTGTCTAACCAAAGGGAGCCTGTACACAGTGCTCTGTATGCAAATCTTTCTAGGCAAAACGAAGGAAAGCATGTTGGCAGCCTTGTTTTTAGGGAACTGCTTTATACCTGCACTCTGGACACCTGTTGTCTTATATCACTGATGTGACTTTTTGGCTCTCATTTATCTGAGATGCAAATGAGCAGAATTCTCAAATCTGACATCTGTTCTTCTGCATTTAATTTAAAAATAAATTATTGGCGAATGAAGTGCTGCAAGAAATTTTTTAAAGTTTAGAATATGTTTAAAGGACTTAGAGGCATTTGTAATGCTAGTACAACCCTTCTCTTTTTATTAATAAAGAGAATGAGACAGAGATCGAATTTTGTGTTCTAGATCTAGGATGAAAGCCAGGACTCCTAAGACCCAGTTTAATGATTCTCCATGCAATTCAGGGGACAGGGTCTCTTTATTTTGCCTGTATCTGAAAGACTGCAAGGTAAACACTGTTCTCCAGAAGGGGAACCTGGCTTCATAATGAGAACCTGTCCAGCTCCTGAAGTGTATGAATGATCTTTACTTCCCCGAGCCTGACTTTTTAAACAGCTATCTCGCGTTTGTCCTAGTTAACGGGAATATCCCAGAAAACTTTTGTCTCCAGCCACTGAGATGAATGGAGAGGACGGGGTGTTACTTGCACATGTCCTGTGCTGCACACCTTGACTTTGATGTCTTGGTTGATCTTGTCTAAATACAAACCGATTTGTCCCCTAAAGGCCAGCTTGGGAGCCATGTGTCTTAAATCTAAGCTATTAAAACGTACCATAGCTCTTCTTTGTGTTTTGGTAAATTTCTCTGCAAGTAAAATGTGTCTAAACCTTACTTTCTATGCCCTTGATTATTACTTCTAGTATTTTTTCTGTTTGCCTGTCTTATGCTAATGAGAGAAGTAGAATTTTCCAGGGGCTCACATGTGTCAATGATTATATCACTAGTGTGTAGAGTAGCAGCTAGTTTTGTTCTTGGTGATGAAACACTTCAGAAACTATAGATTATAACATTTTAAGAAAACTTTTTATTTCAGTAATTAAAAATACAGAAATAATCGGCTGGTCCGATGGCAGTGGGTTATCAGAACTTATTAACATTAGTGTCACTAAAGTTGGTATACAATCCCCCCACTGCTAAATTTGACTGGCTTTAAAAAAAGAAAAAAAGAAAAGAAATAACCTGCATCACTGGAGGTAACTTTGCTCTAGTTGCAGACAAGGATAAGGGCCCAGTTGCCTGCAAAGAACTCATCAGAATGAGTGTTTTTATTTGGAATAAACTCATGGAAACAGAGCCAGAAATGGCAGCTTTTTTTTTTTTTTCCTGTAATGTGTTTTATTTTATTTTATTTTTTTTTTTTATCGGTACCAGGGATCGAACTCACGACTGCCTGCTTGCAAGGCAGGCGCTTATGCCACTGAGCTAAATCCCCAGCCCCGTCTTTTATTTTTAAAGTATGATTTTTCCACATACCTTTTGATAACGTATATTTTCCCTTTTTTCTGAAAAAATAAAAAGCCAGGAAAGCAAAGAAAAGAAAAAGTTTCCTAGATTACCTTGATACATTAATCACAGCTACCCACCCTCATGGTGTTCTGTGAATGAGATTTCTGGTGTGAAATCAGTAATTGCGAATTGTATTTTTTACCTTGCAGAACAAGGAAAAGGCAATCTGCATGTCACATCCTTAGAAGATGTGGAATGCTCTAGGACCAAGGAGCGCCTCTCTAATGGAAACGGTCGTGCCGGAGCCTCCAAGCCTGCCCGAAATATCCCAAGGAGACACACGCTAGGTGGGCCCCGAAGTTCCAAAGAAATCCTGGGAATGCAAACATCTGAGATGGATAGAAAGAGAGAAGCTTTCCTGGAACACCTGAAGCAGAAATACCCCCATCATGCCACAGCAATCATGGGGCACCAAGAGAGGCTGAGAGACCAGGTACAGCACACTGCTATTTCTCCTTGAGTAGGTCATTTCTTCTCCTCCTCCTTTTCCTCCTCTTCTGTACTTTCTCTCCTCCATGCCCTGCCACGTCAGTATTGGAAATTGAGCTCAGGAAGTGCTGAGCTATATCTTCAGCCCTATTTTCCCACTGATTTTTAATTTGATACAGGAGTTTACTGAGTTGCCTAGGCTGGCATCATGCTTGATCCTCCTGCCTCAGCCTTCCTAGTAGCTGATATTATAGGTGTGTGCCACTGCACCTAGCTAGCTCTTCCTTCAGTGAGTGTGAGGAAAAGCAAAACAACCTGTAGTTTAAAGAAAAAAAGAAATAGTTTGGTGAACTGTGACTAGCACTTTTTTGTTCCAGATCAGTTTTCCAGGTTGTCGGTAGAAAAGGCTGTGTCTGCTGCAAGCTCAGTAAGAGAAAAGAGGCCTGGCCAGGGTGGAAGGGCCCCCTGATAATGCAAGTCCCCCAAACGACATTCTAGGTTCCTCTGCAAACACATGCGTAGTGCAGGAAACTCAGGTGTTATTTCACTGAGTAAAGTGAGTCACCAACTATTATGTACCCTGTGAACACTAAGTGCTTAGCACAGCCGCGGAAGGAATGAGTACACAAATCCGTGAATAACACTGTCAGTGTAAAATGGGGCATAGGAGATTCTTGTGATGAAGCCCTTTCCCTGAAGCTGACGTGATGCTTTTACTTTTGCTCTTTTTCTTTCTAATCCCAGACGGTTTCCTTGTGCATGTCTTGCTTTCCGCTGTCTGCAGCTACCTGTGTTCTCTGCTTATCTTGACAGCCACACAGATATCACCCAACTGTGGTTCGGAGTGTTTTTGGTTCTTGGCTGCGCGCAATTACTTTTTAGCAAATGGAGCAGGTTTGGGGTCACGGGAGATGTGAGCCTTTCTCTGTAGATCTCAGAGATGTGTTACCAGATTGACCTTTGAGGATGGAGTGGTTGATCAGGAAGTGGAGAGCACTTACCCTGTATTCCTCCTGTAGGAGGGGAGGGCAGCACCCACCCTCTGCATTGTAGGTAGAGATAAGTTTAGAGCTTTTAGTCTGCTGTCTTGATCTTGCCAGTTAGTTGCCAAAATCATGTCTACCTAACTCAGCTTTTGATTATCCATGGAAAAGAAGACCAGCGCCAGCCCATGTAATTCCAGTCTGTACTCTCCTCAGTCTCACTTTTTCCCTTTAAGGAGAGAAACTTTCTCCTGAGGGAATCATGATCAGAATGCTTTAAAATATAAAATGCACTTTATGGACTTTATGTTTGCTTTTTGATCACACTGCCAAAAGGCAGTAAAGTCTGAGAGGGAGAAAGAAACAGGAGTCCTGGCTTCCTTAAAGAGGGGTTGATGATTCATTCTTCAGGAATTACAAAAAGAAAGGGTATTTTTTTTTTTTTTTTCATTTTAAGTGTGTATAGAAAATACCTCTATTTTCTGTTGCTAGTAGAGCTGTACATTTAAATAATGGGATCTGTGCTTGTTTCCCTAGGTCAGTTTTTGAGAACACCATATTTTATGCAAAGCTGTCAGACTGAAGAAGCACAAACTCAGAGAAATCACAGTTACATAGGTTGCTGAAGAAAATTTGGGATTTGAACTAAAATAAACCTGAGTTCAGAATCCTTGCTTATTCACTTGTTTTAGGAGTTAAAGGTAAAAGCTTCTCAATTTAGAGCTCACATAGCATGACCTGGGTAAGGCGCATGCTAGAGCATCTCATGGAAATAGTGATAAGAATGAGAAAAAAAAGCCTTAAAAAATATATTGAGTGAGAAGGGAGGACATGTTTTTCTTTCAAACTTAAATTGTATTGTCCTGAGAAATTACCCTGTCAAAAGTGGTACCCTTTCCTTGTCAAAAATATTTCAATTATTATTATTTGTGATGTCATAGTTATTGCTATTATTATGATGATGGTGGCTTTGGCTAAAGGAAACAGCAGTAATCAAAAGGTCACAAGAAGTGTGCAGTAGCCAGTGAAAGGGAACAAGAATACAGCGCTGCGGTATGATAGATACTGTTAGAGTATTGTGATGCAATAAAAAACCAAAAAGTACAAAATAAACAAGTTTATTGAGTTGAGGACGTGGAAAGGAGCACACAAGCCACAGTGTTAGGCTCTCTCCTTTGGCCAGATACAGGGAGGCAGAGGGTTATATGACCTCTGGTTGAAGTGGCGCGTGGGGTGGATATTGATATGTGAGGAACTGATTGGAATTCTTTGTGCATGCAGACAGGAGTGGGAGTTGCGTTAGGGCTGAAGATGAAGTGGTGAGCAGTCCCACGTTGGCCTTCCGCTATGTTAGACCACCACCGTAATTGTACAGTAATTTGTACTAGGGCAAGAACCTTTCAGATACCTTCAAGCTCTGGTCTCTTGTTCCATCCACATCATAGTTACAGTCCTGCAGTCCTGTGTGGCTTGTGAGCTGTTCCTTCTTTCAGTACTGCAGGATGAACAAATGGCACATTCTGTCTCTCTGCCTCTATCAAATTCCACGGAGAGAAGTTTTGATGTACAAATCTGCATACACCTTTCAGTCTGTTGCTGTACTTTAATAAGCAAACCACAATCCACGTTGTAAACACAAGTGAGCTTAGGGAGGTTTATAAGTTCTCTACACATTCCCCAATCTTCTGTGTTTTCTCCATCCTTTGTTTCCTACCCCTATTTCTGTTTTTCTGGCCTTTTCTTTGTGACACCCTTTGTTCTTCCCTGAGTTTCTGACAAGGCAGATTCCTGGCCTCCTTTATAGGAAGACTGCATGACCTGACAAGGAGGAAGTCACATAACACAGTCCAGTATGCACTTTAGATACTGAGGTTCTGGATACCAGAAATTCCTCCACTGCCACTGTTCATGGCTACCTCCTTAGAGCAGAGGCCTTCATGAGACCTAGATTAGAGCCAATGAATGAGGCAGAGGATGTGATGTTGAAAATATACATCTGGCACTTTTAATGAAATACTAATATAAGGGAATGAAACTCCCAACCTACTGTATGTCGGTGTTCCCCTTAAATTGAAGAAAGAATTTTAGGAACAAGGGAAGCTAAGAGCAGAATATATTTATTTAGAGAAAGAAAGCTTCTCTCCATGAGACAGAAGAGGTTTTCTGAGTGGGCTGACAAAGACTCTGTCTTTTCTAGGGACTTTTATAGAGTAAAATCATGAGGTGAGACAGGTCCAAGGTGGGGAAAAATGTCAACTCGCAAGGTAGACATAAGGTGGGACAGATCTGTGGTCAACTAATAAGATTAATTGCTCACATAAAATTGGTTAAATCAGGAACAAATTGGGTAGCAAGTCATGGTAGCAAAGAGTCATGCTTAAGGAATAGTGACTTTTCCTGTAAGGGTATGTATGGGATGGTGACTCTGGGCTTCCTCTGGGTGATAGAGAGCTATTTAGAATATCAATCCTTAGAATGTGGGTGGATTTGCTTTGCCTTTTATCTTTAGGTCTGGCTGGTCCACAGCAGGGGAGGTCTTTGTTTCCTCCAAGGTTGCCAGGTATCTGGTCTTCTGCACTGGTTCCTTTGAGGGCCCAGCCCTGTCTGACTGCTTATAGTATTTCTAACTAACTCAGCTGCCTATAACATTATCTATTTCAGTAATAGGAAAACTAGGTCTTATTCCTTGTATTAAACATAATGAGAATCGAGTATGCTTTATGTTTCTTTTTTTTTTTAGGCAGGGTTTATTACACAGTTTAGGTAGAACTTCAGCTCACTTTTGTAGCCCATGCTGGCCTCAAACTTGCAAGGATCCTCCTGTATTAGCCTCCTCAGTGCTGGTATTACGGGCATGCACTACTCTGTTTCAAACTCTGAATTCACCATGGGAAGATTCATGGTTTAAAGCTTACATTTGAGTCTTTAAAAATATGTTGGTAAGGAGCTTTTTAGCTTTTTTTTTTTTTTTTTTTAAGTCTAAAATATTGAAGAGCTAAGAGGTTACCTTAATGCTATCCGTAGTCCTCAAAAAATGCAAATGACTATTACTGCCCCATAGTGCTTACCTGCATGAGAGTAGCTGTAATTATAACTGGCTTCTTCCACATTCCTGGCCCTTTTCAGAGTGCAGGTCAGTACGACTAGCTGCCAAAGGCTTGGCTCTGGAGTTAGGAGTGGCTGGAATCCAGCCCTTACCATATGCTAATTGAGAGATTTGGAACTAATGACTTATCTTTGTCTGTCTGGGTTCCCTCCCTTGTTAAAGGACAATAGTATCTACATCGTAAAGCATGGAAAAGCAACTGTTTGGATTGGTTGACCCTTTCCACTGGGGCTCTTAGCATCACACCATTCTGGTTTGTGTTGTCTGAAAGAAGTGTCAGAGGCTCTTACTCTATAATTAGTGTTTACTTTTTTAATCAGCAAATACTTGGGCATCCAGAATGGTTCATTTTCTTTATTGTCAGTAAATGTTTTTTGTGTTTTTGAGAGAGGGTCTACTGGCCCTGAGCTCACTTTTTAGCCCAGGCTGGCCCCAAGTTGCCACAATCCTCCTGTCTCAGGCGCCCAAGTGCTGGTATTACAAGTACACATCATTATGCCTGGCAGAAAATAATTTTAGGAACTTGTAGGGTGTTTTTTTTTTTGAAAGGGTTTTGGCCCAGATAGGACACTGTAGCCAGGAAAGCCACAACCGGAAGCAGGAAGCCCCATATCTCCCCTGCCCTTAGGAAGTTACCTGTGACGCCATCTTCCCGCCCCTGGAAATTTACATATGGCGCCAAACCTAGGACCAATGGGCTACCTGTGCATCCCTAATGCCCGCCTTAGGTTCCACCCCAAACCGAGGCTATTTACAGGCCCCCCACGGCCACGTGTCCACCGGAGAGATCGCCGGACTCCAGTGGTGAGGGTGCCGGTCATCTCTCTCCGTGTTCTCAGAATAAAGGCCTCTTTATCTTTTGGAAATATTTTTCGTCTTTTAGAAATAATCCTAGCAATTTTGTTTTTGTTTTTT